GTCGTGGGTGAATCTTGATGATATTATGCTAAGTGAAATCAGCCAGACACAAAAAGAACAAACATTGTATCATTCCACTCATGAGGTCCCTAAGTAATCAAATTCCTAGAGACAGAAAGCGAAGATGGCAGGTGCCAGGGCTAGGGGTCAGAATGGGGAGCGAGTGTTTAATGGGCAGGAGTTTCAGTTTGGGAAGATGAAAACCATCTGGAGATAGATGGTGGTGATGGTTGCACTAAAATGTGAGTGTCCTTAATGCTACTTAACCATGCACTTAACAATGGCTAAAATTGGAGTGTGGTGGGGCGTGGGGACAGAGGGTGTATGGGAACTCTCTGTACCTTCCTCTCAATTTTGCTGTGAACTTAAAAGTGCTCTCAAAAAAGTCTTTAAAAAATATTTAACATCAGGCCAGACACAGTGGCTTACCCCTGTAATCCCAGCACTTTGGGAGGCCAAGGTGGGTGGATCATGAGGTCAGGAGATTGAGACCATCCTGGCTAACGTGGTAAAACCCCGTCTCTACTAAAAATAGAAAAAAATTTTTAAAAATTAGCTGGGTGTGGTGGTGCACACCTGTAGTCCCAGCTACTCAAGAGGTTGAGGCAGGACAATGGCGTGAACCCGGGAGGCGGAGCTTGCAGTGAGCCGAGATCACACCACTGCACCCCAGCCTGGGGGACAGAGTGAGATTCATCTCAAAAAAAACAACAACAACAACAAAAAAACGGTTAACATCAATTTTATGTTATGTATTATGTATATTTTACCACCTTTATTTTTTTTCTTTTTTGAGACAGAGACTTGCTCTGTAGCACCCAGGCCGGAGTGCAGTGGCACCATCTCAGCTCACTGCAACCTCCACCTCCCAGGTTCAAGCGATTCTCCTGCCTCAGCCCCCCGAGTAGCTGGGATTACAGGTACGTGCCACTACGCCCAGCTAATTTTGCATTTTTAGTAGAAATGGGGTTTCACCATGTTGGCCAGGCTGGTCTCAAACTTCTAACCTCAAGTGATCCAGCTGCCTCGGCCTCCCAAAGTGCTGGGATTACAGGGGTGAGTCACTGTGCCCAATTAACACCATTTTTTAAAAAGTTAAAAAAACAATTGGCTCAATCTCCCCTTGTTCTGAAGGTCCTAAAGAAAAACACGCCACTTGTCTTAGGGTGCTTCAGCTCAGTGTAGACCGGTCTATCCCACCGGCCTTATCATCCTCCTGGGCTTTTGCCAAAAGATGTCATTGTGAGGGTGTCTTGCTAAAGCCAAGAAAGGGAAGTTGAATTGAGAAAGTGGTTGAGCCATTTACAAAGTTTATACAGCCTGGGCCCTTGCCCGGGGCTGAGCTCAGTCATTTTGCCCTGAGGACTAGAAGCGGATTTGTATGCAGCACTGTCTTTTTTATTATTATTACTATCAAGCCAAGTAAGTTCTTAACAGCTGAGGTGGTGGGTCTGAGAAGCCTCTTCACTCCTTCACAGGAGAAGGACCATCCACATGAAGATCCTACATTGTTGGGGTTTTTTTTGTTTGTTTTTGGAGGTCAAAAAAGGTCACTGTTAGGAGGCTTTCTGGGCCTTTGCTCCTCTCCCTCAATTTATTACCTCTCCAGTGGCTGATGACGTACAGGGAGCCTTCCACCGGATAATGACATGGCTTTGTTTATTTCACAAATTCCCAGCATTTACTGTTAACCAGGCCCAGACTGAACCACCCCCAAGGGGCTTACAGTCTAAACAGCTCACTTTGCTCAGCCTCTTCCTAGGGTCAGACCCTGTCTTGCTAAGGCTGACATCAGTTCATGCCCATTTTACAGATGGGGAAACTGAGAATGCTAAGAAGTGAAATGGCGTAAGGTTATACAACTAACAAGGAGACAGCCTAAACTTGAACCCAACCGGAAGCCCGACATGGCCCCAAGCCTTCCTCGACCCCCAGGACTTGGCAAAGCGGGCATCCTGGGGTGAAGCATGGCAGAAGGGCTTTGGGTCCAAGCTAAGTGAGGGTCCTGTTTCTAGATCACCTGTCCAGGTGCAGTGACTCACACCTGTAATCCCAGTACTTTGGGAGCCTGAGGCGGGAGGATTGCTTGAGCTGAAAAGTTGGAGACCAGCCTGGGCAATACAGCGAGATCTTGTCTCTACTAAAAAAGAAAACAAAAAATTCACTGCGTGTGTAGTCCCAGCGACTGAGGCTGGGGGATTGCTTAAGCCCGAGAGTTTGAGGCTGTAGAGCTCTGATAGAGCCACTGCACTTCAGCCTGGGCAAAGGAGCAAGACACTATCTCAAAAAATATAGATAGATAGATAGATAGATGGATAGATAGATAGATAGATAGATAGATAGATAGATAGATAGATTCCCTTGTCCCTCTGCTGAGAAGTAACCAGATCTGGAAAAGATTAGTCACCTCGGTCCAACTATTTCTTTCACATTAAGAAAAAAAAAAGCCAATGCAGAGCTTCCCATGAGGGTCTGGCAGCTCAGCCTGAGGCCTTTGCAGGTACCTCTGTGTGTCTGCCCCGGGCATAGTGGCAGATTGGGCAGGTTGCAGCAAGGATTGCTGATAGAGGAGCTCCTAGTGTACCTAGCCGACCATTTACTCACAAACACCTATTGAGCACCTACTGTGTGCCCAGCACTGGAGGTACAACTGGCAACAACACAAATCCGGGCTTGGTCCATGGAGGTGACAATCGAAATGCGGCGGAGGGTCAGCTAACAAGTGCAGAAGGTTCTCTAAGAGCTCAAAGAAGCTCCAACCAGAAGGACCGGGTAGGGGATCCAGAAGGCACCCCCGAGTGGCTACTCCAAAGGAGTGGCTTCTCCATTCAGGCAAACCTGAATGGGAGAAGTCATTGGCAGGAAGATCTGGGGCCAGGGGACATCCAGTGGGAAGGGGGAGAGATGACACGGTCAGCGTGGCGGGAACACGGGAGCAGAAGGGAAGCAGGTGGGAAGCGGGGTCAAGGGCCAGGGGCACAGAAAGGGATCAGATGCAGATAAGTGAGTGCTTCCTGGTGCATCCTTCACCCACAATTCATCCTTACCTGTGCTTTTGTTGCCTCCCTTGGACATTTGAGGAGGCCAGGGCCTGCAGAGGCTGACAGTGTGCTCAGGGACCCCCCAGCAGCAAGGTGGAAGCCAGATTCCAGATCAGTTCTGCTGGTAATTTCCAGCTCCCAAAAGCCCTGCTGGCTGTCAGTCCCCAGTCACCAAAAGCACCTGTCCTGTGTGGGGGAGCCTGTAGTTCTGGGACATATATCAGCCGCCTGCAGGGTCCTTTGCTGAACTCACAGCAAATAGGAGAGACAGGGAGAGGTCCTTGGGAAGCCCTAAACTGAGCTTGCCATGGGAGTCCTGGGAAGAAAGGAGCCTCGTCCTATCAAAAGCAGGGGGAAGACATCAGAGGCCCTCTGCTCAGGTCAGCTGGCACAGGTGGGTCTCCAGGCCTGGGTCTCACTTCCCCAGAGGGCGTGTTCGGGTGGACCCAGGCTGAGGGAGGAAAGTCCACCTCCCATGTCATTTTGCAAATGGGGAGTCAGGGACCCAGAGACGGAAAGACCACACAGCAAGTGAGGGATGGGCTCGAAGTCCCTTTCACCCTGCACCCTGGCCAGGGATGTCTTCTTGGCACCAGATCTGCAGGCTCATCTGGGGGACCCAGGGACCCAGAGGCAGCCTGGTTTCATCTTAGCAGCTGTGAGCTGCAGCCCAGGAAGGCCCAGGTCTGGGTGGTGCTGCCCCGGCAGGCTGCAGGCGCAAGGAGGAACAAAGAGCCTCTCGAGGGGTGCAGAGCTGAGGCTCTGGTACTGTCAAAGACACTTGATGATCCCCAAGTGCCCCCCTTTCTGCACCTCAGAGTAGAGCCTTCAAGCCTCCCAGGTCCCCTCCAGGGGCACGAATAGGCCCCAGCAGGGTTCTGAAGGGGTCCCAGGAATCTCCCTGTGGGGATGCAGTGGAGGTGGAGGAGGCTGAGGTGGCCTGGGGACATCTCTGGTCACAGGTGCTGGTGATAGGAGAGGTGGGGTAGGCACCAAGCCCCTTGCAGCTGTGGCTAGGCCGGCCTGCAGGAAGGGCCAGCTAGGCTCCTCAGGGACCACAAAGAACAGGGGTTTTCACAGCTAGGTGGGCCTGCATCTAGCTAGCTCCGTCCCCATCAGGCCATAACAGGCACAGTGGGAGGTAGAACCATGAGTCAGAGACGGGAGCCTTCCAGAGGCCTGGCCTGGGTCCCCCCTAGACTGGGGGCTCTGGCTATGGTGCATGGATATTTCTGCTGTGGAATCAGAGGAGAGGGGATGGTGAATATCCCCTCTGGCCCTGTGCCCTGCCACCTGTCCTTTCATGGAGGGGTGTGTGTGTAGGGGGTGCAGGACCAGGCTTCCCTGGGTGCATCTCTGCCACCTTGCCCTTTGGCTCAGGTGGACCTCCACTAGGTATTCAGAACGCCAGCCCAGAAACGCGCCAAGCCTGTGGGGCCAAGACCTAGGGGGTGGGGTGGCCTCCCTCCCGCCTGTAGCCAAAAGGCCCTCCCTTGCCCAGTCAGGCCCCGGTGTCGCTTACTGCTCTTACCCACCCCTCCTTCCCAGGCCGGTCCTCAAGGCCCCAGCAAAGAAACCAAGTTGCCGTGAGCCTCCCAAAGGCGAAGGGCAGGCAGCAGCCGCTGGCTTCTGCGCCCACTAGGAGCCTAGGGTGCCCGAGTTAGGGCTGCGCCAAGAGGTCCGGAGCAGAGAAGGAGACGGGGACTGGGACAGGCAGGGACAAAGTGCAAGAGGCAAAACTGGCTGAAAAGCAGAAGTGTAGGAGCCGCAAGGGGCGGGACGAACAGGTCCGTGGGCCGGGCGGAGCCAAGGGTGGAGGCCGGGGTCCCTCCAGGTGGCACTGGCGGCGCTAGTCCCCGGCCTCCTCCCCTCCCCCGGCCCTGATTGGCAGGCGGCCTGCGACCAGCCGCGAACGCCACAGCGCCCCGGGCGCCCAGGCGAACGCGAACGGCCCCCCGCGGGAGCGGGCGAGTAGGAGGGGGCCCCGGGCTATATATATAGCGGCTCGGCCTCGGGCGGGCCTGGCGCGCAGGGAGGCGCGCACTGCTCCGCAGGGTCCCAGCTCCAGCCGCGCGCTTTACGCCCGGCTCGCCGCTCCATGCAGCCGGGGTAGCGCCCGGCGCCCGGGGGCCCCGTCGCTCGCCTCCCGCTCCTCCTCGGCTACGCATTCCCGCACGAGCTCGGCTGTGCGCTCCCGCGGGCCGCCACAGGCGCAGCTCTGCCCCCCAGCTTCCCGGGCGCACGGACCGCCTGACGGACGCACGGCCCTCGGGCCGGGATGTCGGGGCCCGGGACGGCCGCGGCGGCGCTGCTCCCGGCGGTCCTGCTGGCCTTGCTAGCGCCCTGGGCCGGCCGAGGGGGCGCCGCCGCACCCACCGCACCCAACGGCACGCTGGAGGCCGAGCTGGAGCGCCGCTGGGAGAGCCTGGTGGCGCGCTCGTTGGCGCGCCTGCCGGTGGCAGCGCAGCCCAAGGAGGCGGCCGTCCAGAGCGGCGCCGGCGACTACCTGCTGGGCATCAAGCGGCTGCGGCGGCTCTACTGCAACGTGGGCATCGGCTTCCACCTTCAGGCGCTCCCCGACGGCCGCATCGGCGGCGCGCACGCTGACACCCGCGACAGTGAGTGGCGCGGCCGGGCGCGAAGGGGCGGGGGCGGAGGGCAACGGCCGCCCCGGCCAACGCGCTCAGTCACACGCTGAGGCCTCAGGGGGGCACCTGCTCGCGGGCCCTGGGAACCGGGGCGGACTCGGGCTCCGGTGCCTTCTGACGCGGGGCTGGGGATGCACACTCTTGGTTCCGGCAGCCCAGCGCAACCCCTGAGGCCGGGCCCCGCCTCCCGCCTTCGGAAGCTCGGGCTCCCAGCGCCGAATTCCATCGGCTTCGCCCGTGGGCACAGGGCGCGCGGTGCAGCCACAGGGGGCCCGAGACACGCGCCCCGGCCTGGGCCAGGCTGGGGAACCGCTGGGGTGGGCTCGCTTCTGAAGGTGTGGGACTGGGTGCGGCCGCCGGAGGTCCCCTACGCAGGCAAGCTAATCTGAGCTAGCGCAAGCTTGGGCTCCGGAGGCCCTTGGGGGCGGCTGCGCCGGGAACCCCGGGCCTTTTATCCCCAATCCCACCCCAGAAATAGGGTGCCCGGAGGCGAACAGGCCGAGGGGCGGAGTGGGCCAGGGGTCACCTGCCCCTCAATGACCTGCGCCCCGCCCCCAGGCCTGCTGGAGCTCTCGCCGGTGGAGCGGGGCGTGGTGAGCATCTTCGGCGTGGCCAGCCGGTTCTTCGTGGCCATGAGCAGCAAGGGCAAGCTCTATGGCTCGGTGAGTACCGCAGGGGTCTGGCCAGGTACCTAGTTGGGGAACAGCGGACGTGGCTGGCAGGATCGTGGCTTCTCCAGCCCCACCTGTGCCTGGGTCTTGGAGGGGTGGCAGGGTCACCGGGTCACGGGACCGGCAGGGCTGCCCAGACAAAGGAAGCAGCCCCAAGGCAGGAACAATGAGGTTCCTGCCATCCCTGAGTGGGCCCCTCCCAGCCCGAGGAAAGGGCGCTGTTGAGAGCCCTTCTCTTCTCTAGTCCAGAGTGGTGGGTCTCAGCGTTGGAACTGCCGGCTTGAGGCTGGACACGAAGGGGATGATTTCTCTGGCTGCTAGGTGCAGGGCAAGTGGTGAGAGCACCAGCTGTTGTGGGCTGGCCATGCCCCCTTCTCACCCTGTGAGGGTCTTGACACCCTAACTGTGCAGGAGAGACATCTCAGCCCAGGGTGGGGTCTGGGACAGAAGGGGGTTCTGACCCCTGGCCTCAGGCTGGGTACCTTGCCCAAGAGGTGCCCCAGCCCTGACACTGCCCTGCTTTGCTCCAGCCCTTCTTCACTGATGAGTGCAAGTTCAAGGAGATTCTCCTCCCCAACAACTATAATGCCTACGAGTCCTACAAATACCCGGGCATGTTCATCGCCCTGAGCAAGAATGGGAAGACCAAGAAGGGGAATCGAGTGTCGCCCACCATGAAGGTCACCCACTTCCTCCCCAGGCTGTGACCCTCCAGAGGACCCTTGCCTCAGCCTCGGGAAGCCCCCCGGAGGGGAGTGCCGAGGGCCACCTTCGTGCACTTTCTTCGGATGAAGAGTTTAATGCAAGAGTAGGTGTAAGATATTTAAATTAATTATTTAAATGTGTATATATTGCCACCAAATTATTTATAGTTCTGCGGGTGTGTTTTTTAATTTTCTGGGGGGAAAAAAAGACAAAACCAAAAACAAAAAACCAACTCTGACTTTTCTGGTGCAACAGAGAATCTTACCACTGGATTTCTTTAACTTGTCAAAAGTTGTCACGAGTGTGCTGCTATTCTGTGTTTAAAAAAAAAAAGGTGACATTGGATTCCGATGTCAACCCCTGTAGTATGGCGTGGAGCATCTCTCTGTCTGGAAAGGCCTGCCTGAGGCTTCAGAAGCCAGTTCAGGGAGCTCCCGGGCTTGGCTCTCTGCGAGCATCCTCAGAGGCCCGCTCCCCTTGTGCCCTGTTGCTATTAATCGGGACATATCGGTTTACTTCGGGTACAGAAAGTGCGGTGTCGACGTCCTCGCTGCCACTCTGTTTTTAGATCTGCCAAGACTGACCTTTGAACTTTCCTGTAGTCAATCTTCCTCGATCTACCAGATGGGGGAGACCCTTGGACAACTTTATAAACTCCTGTTTGCCTTTTTTGGATCAGCGACAGCCCCCATCGCTGTGACCATTGGGGAAAGGATGAAGCTCCTTCATAAATTCCATGGAGAGGAATTGATATCCCACTGGAAGGCTAGAAATGGACAAGATGATGTGTTTGCAATCACAAACAAAACCCTAGTGACGAAAAATAATTTGTGATGGCAGATGCTTCTGATGGTGTGATAGAATATGTTTTTTAAAACAAACCATCAAACCCCCCTCAAAACGGGCTTCCCTGTGCTTAGGGAGCTTCGGGCTAGAGCTAGCTATTATTTTTGAGTGAAATGTCCTTGTAATTGTACAAAACAATTGGTGCAGTGTTTGCGTGGAGGAGCCTGCTGCTTTCTGATGCATTCCCTGCTTAAGTGCGTTTAACATCTACCTCACAAGCCCTGAAACCCCCGGCGAAACCTGCAGAAAGCTCAGACCCGGTGCAGTAGTATGCCATCCCAAGTGGCTTTTTTTTTTCCCATATGTAGCCAAAAAGGATTGCAGATAGCGTCGGTGCGTCCTATTCGAACCTTGTCACGTTTGAGCTATCTTTACCCTGTGATTTACTTTTAGTAAGGGTGATCATGGTGAAAATATTTGCAGACAGCTGTTACATGCACTATATGGTCACCAAGTAACCTTATATTTTTCTTTATATATTTTACAAATGTAACCCCTGTCGTTGAAGCAACCGTGGAAGAGGCAGGGTCGGTGATGTTTAAAAAAAGTTCCGAGGTGATGGCAAACATTTAATTTTAATGAATGACTTTTTAGAGTTTATACAAAATGACCTTAGCTTGCTACCAGAAATGCTCCGAATGTTTCGTCAAGACTTTAATACTCTCCTAGGATGTTTCTGAACCGTCTCCCGAATTAACTTTATGGGAGTCTACAGACAGCAAGACTGGAAAATCTGATTGGAGTTTTTGTCTTTCACATTCCTTTTGAAAACTCTTTGTTCGAATGCAAATCATCGACTTAAAATACTATTCTTAACCAAGGCCTGGAAGAAAGAAGACACTTGCAAAGCCACTGAGACAGGACCACACATCTTAAACTGCTGTTCCTACAATGCAATAAAATGTTTTTAAGTTTTAAACCACACCCTAGGCTCCAGGAGTGTTGAGGAAAGACGCTGTTTGCAGGTCTCCATGCTGTTTGGCGTCGGGAGGGGGGTGTGGCGGGATCATCCGTCGACTTTCTGGATTTTAATGTATTCACCTAGTGACAAACCATGGTTGTCTTAAATGCCTTAAATTATTATGAGATTTCTTGTCTCAGAGCCCAATCAGATTGTCAGGAATTAACATGTCTTAGGTTTAATCACCCTTGACCACTGCTTACAGATATTTCTTCAACAAATCATGTGTGATGCCTGTAAGGACGTAACTGTCCCTTTAAAATATTGTTTTCCTATTGCTGCGATGGGGATTCAAGGTTCCTGTATGTGCCACTGTTTTCAGAATCTGTAGTTTTATACAGGTGCCGACCCTCGTTGTGATGTATGTGCTGTGCACATTGACATGCCGAGCGCATTGATAAGCGTTTATCGTGTATAAAAGACGCCACTGGACTGGATGTACACAATGGGGAAAGGAATTAAAAACTGTTAAAACTGTGCCTTGAAATGCCAAGACCTGGTTCCCTCCCCCTGTCTTCCTGGGGTCTTTCTATTTGAGGCCTGAGCCTCACATGGCTGGGGGTGGGGGTGGGGGTGGGGTCGAGAGAGACGAATTTTAGCCAGCTGTGTCCACACAAATGTAGCCTTGAAAACAGGAGCCTGGGGGGTGTGAGTGTCACAAAGTTTTGCCATGACACTGAGTCTTGCAGTTTATTCTCATTCTCCTGATGGGGCTAATTCCCGCCATTCCCACACTGTAACTAGCCCTAAACTCTGTGCCCCTCCCATTGGCCTCCTGTTCTCTAAAGCAATTTGCACTTCCCCTGGGGGGAGCAGTGAAGCTCCAGAGCTGGTCATTAGAAGGCAGACTCGAGAATAGTTTTCAGAATCTAAGTAGACACCATCCATGGGTATCAAACTCAATATAATGAACTGCAGCTAGTCTTTTATTTTTAATTAATTACTCTTTTTAATTGTTTTTTGAGATGGAGTCTCACTCTTGTCGCCCAGGCTGGAGTGCAATGGCACGATCTCAGCTCACTGCAACCTCTGCCTCCCAGGTTCAAGCTATTCTCCTGCCTCAGCCTCTCGAGTAGCTGGAATTACAGGCACCCGCCACCATGCCCAGCTAATTTTTGTATTTTTAGTAGAGATGGGGTTTTTCTATATTGGCCAGGCTGGTCTCTAACTGCTGACCTCAGGTGATCTGTCTGCCTCGGCCTCCCAAAGTGCTGGGATTATAGGCGTGAGCCACCATGCCCGGCCAGCAGTTACTCTTTTATAAGAAGGAAATGGAACTAAATCTTATAGATATAAATTATCTGAGTGTATCAGTCACAGTAGGGGTGCAGACTGTTTTGTGAAAATTTGAGTTCAATTATATACAATTATAGTATTTATAACTAGTCTTTCCTAGGAGGTACTCATGAATGCAGTGGATGACTTTGAAAAAAGCTAAATGCTGATCTAATGTACCTAGAATATGGGGTTTCCTCTCCCCGTAAGACATGTCCAATTGCTTTGCAAAAAGGCAATCAGGGTTAGAAGATCCTTAATTGTACTTAATTTGCTCTCCAAGGCATTGTTCTTACCTTTCTAGAAAAAAAAATTATTATAGAGATGGGATTTCACTTTATTGCCCAGGCTGATCTCGCACTTCTGAGCTCAAGTGATCCTCCTACCTCAGCCTCCCAAAGTGTTGGGATTACAGGAACGGGCCACCGAGCCCAGTCCTTTTCTGTCCCTATTTCTTGACTTCCATGATCTAGGTACGACAAAGAAATACGTAGGTGATGTTAGAGGGTGAATTATGTCCAAAAGATCTCTTCCAAAGGATATGTTGAAGTCCTAACACCCAGGACCTCAGCATGTGAGTTTATTTGGAAATAGGGTCTTTATAGGGGTAAAATGAGACTATTGGGGTTGGACCCTAATCCACTATGACGGGTGCCCTCTTATAAAGGAGGCCCTGTAAAGAGACACAGGGAGAAGGTGGTGTGAAGATGGAGGCAGATGGGTGATGCTTCCACAAGCCAAGGACTGCTGAGGGGTGCCAGCAAATGCCCAACAGCCAGGCGAGAGGCCTGGGACAGTGGTTCCCTCCTAGCCTCAGAAGGAACCAATGATGTGGACACCTTGACCTCAGACTTGTAGCCTCCAGGGCTGTGAGATAATCAATTGCTCTTGTTTTAGCCTGCAGTGTGTGGTACTTTGCTGCTACCGGCAGCCATTCACACTGGGGTGAGGATGGGACTGCAACCCAGACGATCCAGCCGTCTGGATCTGCAACCCTTCATGCATGCAAACCCTGTGGGTCTCTGTCCACATCTGTCCTGGCCAAACAAGGAATGGCTCATCCAGCTTCTAGGGTGAAAGTCTGCCCATCGTTGGCAAGATCTATCAGCTGAACTGAGCTTTCATCTTGGCTTTCCAGCTCCTAGCATAGAGGGATGATGGGGAGTCAAGGATAGATCCCAAGAGAGGTTAAAAAGTCACTCATTCACTTTACATACTTGTTGAGTGCCTCCTTTGTGCCAGGCACAATTAGAGAAGGAAACAAGGATCCCTGCTCACCTAGAGCCTCATCGTAAAGAGGGAGATAACAGTGAATGAGGAACGCGGGTCACCTGGGAAGGTGGATGGTGCCAAGACAGAGAGAGAACAGGGTGGGGAGGGGTGGGGGTAAGGGTGGGTGCAGTGAAGGTGATGACATCTGAGCAAAGACTTCAAGGTGCCACGTGAGGAAGCTTGTTCCGGGCAGAGGGAACAGCCCCTGTGAAGGTGTGGGGCTGGCAGCAGGCCTGGGATGTTTAAGGCACCGTGGGATGGGCAGGGAGGAGGCAGAGTCAGAGAGGCCAGCTCCTGGAGCCTTGGAGGCCATGGTGTGGACTGGGCTTTTCCTTACAGTGAGTTTGTACCATCTCACAGCCCTGGGATGGAGCAGAGGAAGGTTGAGATGAGATGGTTGGAAGCAGAGGAGTCCCAGGAGGAAGTGATTATAGGGATTCAGGCTGGGTGTGAGGTTGGTCAAGGCTGGTCCGATGGGGAGTGAAAAGTCAAATTAAAATAAGATATGGGGTTTCTCAAAAATCAGCCTGCTGCCTAGGGGACACACGTCTCCGTGGCTGAGTACAGGGTTTGGGGCCAGCCTCACAGCTTCGTAGGTGGGTGACCCACGGCTTCCTCGCTGAATGACCGTGGGTGAGCCAGGGGACCCCACCTCACCTCTCCTCATGATTCCCACCTCCTGTGTCTGGCGTGAGGACGGAGAAGATGATGCGTGTAAAGTGCCTGTCACAGCAAACAGTGACTGTCATCTGCTAGATTAGACCTTACTTATCCAAAGTTTCACTTTCCATAGTTCGGTTACCTGCAGTCACCCTCGTCTCAAAATATTAAATTCCAGGGATACACAGTTTGTATGTTTTTGTTTGTTTGTTTGTTTGTTTTTTGTTTTTTTTTGAGATGGAGTCTCGCTCTGTTACCAGGCTGGAGTGCAG